CAGTGGTACTTCAGTCCACAAATGTGACTCTTCCCACTATTCTGGTCATGGTGAAGTTCAATATTGACTTTATGGAGAAATTTTATTCAGTTCTCCTCCAGTTCAGTTTGCAACCAGAATCATGGAGAGAATTCAGTTCGTGAATCAAGATACCATTGTATATATGAATGTCCATGTCAGCATTGTTTCTGATACAAAAATGCTGAAAATAAATAAATTGTAAAAAAGAAAAAGTTAAAATGAGCATAAGTGAAACAAATAGGATGCATATGTGTAAATACTGAATAGTTTCTCTAGTGTGAGAAACAGAAAGTGTAAATAATGAATAAAAGGCATAATAGATGCTGTGAAATAGGAAGAAAAGAAGCAAAGGGGAAGGGGAAATGGGAAGGGTAGGGGAAAAGAAAGATGGGAATAGAATTAACATAAGAAAAAGAAAATACTGAAACAAAGTCTTTGTAGATAGGGAGGGGTGGATGGGTCAAAGGGAGGGCAGGGGAATGGGGAAAAAATAAGAACCAAGATGGGTTATGTAAATGTGCAAATTTCAAATGATGAATGTCAGTATACTGTACATCTGAAATGTACCAATAAAATTAATTAATTTAAAAATTAGAAAAAAGAGTAAAAATTAAGCATAACAATAGAGCAGATAAGTTTGTTCTAATATCACAGCAGAACAATAATATATACCTAAGTTTCACTGGGACAACAGTACATTACAAAAACTGGAACAATAAATATAGACTTATTTCCTTAATATACACTTCTAAGACAGGCAAATTGAAGGATTATTGCAAAAGAATAAAACTCTAATGAAAAGTAAGCAAATATTGAAAACAGTGGGGATATGGTGTTCTCTAAAGGGAAAAATGATACAAAGGAGGAAGAACTGCAGGAACATCAACAGGTATGTAGGTTTCCCTAGGGAGAAAAGGGCTAAAGGAGTAGGGGAAGTGGGAGGGGTAGAGGAAATGAAAGAAGGTAAAAGAAAACATGAGAAAAGGAAAAAATGGAAGCAAAATCTCTGTAAATAGGGAAGGGTGGAGTGGGTGAGAGAGGGCAGGGGTATGGTGAAACAATGAGAACCAAGACCTGTCTTGAAAAAGGTACAAGATCCCAGTGATGAATGTAACTGTACTGCATAGCTTAAAAATACCAATTAACTTAATGGGAAAAAAAGATGGTTAGTTTCCTGTCAAGCCTCTAGAATATGAAATATTTCTTGAGTACTATTATTTAAAATGAGATCGAATGCCATATACATGGACATACACATAAACACAGCACAACTACATACATGTGATATATCCTTACCCTGCATAGGTGAAATATGTCATTTTGTTTGAGTTATTTCAATAGTCTTATAAAAATTAAAGTAAAATTTCCAGTAAAATGGGTAGAAACAATGGTTGATTTTTTTTTTTTTGTACTAGGGATTGAACTCTGGTCCTTGCACTTGTGAGGCAGGTGGCGCAACCACTGGGCTAAATCCCCAGCACAACATTGCTGAATTTTGAAAAATATTCAAGCAGCTTGTAGATCTCATTGAACTCATGCAAAACAGAATTTTGAATGCCACTTCCACTACATATTACTAGCTTAGTGGCACGTGGCTAATACTAAATTCTTAAATTAGAATTTCCACATTCAAAACAAACCCTAGAGATAAGGGAAGTAAAAAAGAAAATCTGTCACTGTAATTAGCATATAACCACATACTTAAAGAAACTTTGCTTTAAGTAGAGGCAATTTCCTAAGGACTACAGAATAAATTTTGCCATTTCATACAGAAACATAGGACACTGCACTGAGGTAGTTAGGCTGGGAAGTATTTTTCTTCATTTTACAGTCAAATACTTTGTACTTGGATGAAACTGCACTGAAATCCTATTAAACTAGTTTTGTGGCCTAGATTCTGACATCCTGCCTGGCCATTTATTAGCCCACATCTAGAGAGGCTGAATGCCCTCATCAGAAATTTCATGATAGATTACCCTTTGTATGACTCACACCTAGCTGAAGTTTAAAGGAACACTAAAGTTTCTCTTCAGCACTTGGGATATGCACTGTACTATCGGGATCATTATCCTAGCCTTTTATGGAAAGCCATCTGATATCAAATTGTAAAAGAGCTACACTCTTTGAGAAAAAAAATAGTTATGTGTCTCGCTTCCATCAATCTAAGAAAGGAACTAAAAATCAAATAGGAAATGATTAAAGAAATATAAACAGCTGAGGAGAAAATGAGAGGAAGGACAGATGGGAAAGGGTTGGTCAACTGGCACAAATTAGTTAAATAGGAAAAATATGATCTGATGTTCTATGTACAGTAGACTGAATAGGGCTATAACATATTATATACTACAAAAAGTGAAAATAAAAGCTTTTGGATATTTTTAATAAATATATAATAAATATTTAAGGAAATAAATACAATTTGCCCATTTGACACTACAGTGTATAAATGTATCAAAATATCGCATGGTATGTATGACTATCTGGAATTTTTACTTGTGATTTAAAATGAATACATAAGAAATTACAAAACAATCCTGGCATAATGGTACACATTGATAGTCCCAGCACTTGGGAGGCTGAGGCAGAAGCTGTGCCACTAATTCAAGACCAACTTGAACTACAAAGAGCGACCCTGTCTCAAAAAAATAGAAAAAAACAAACAAAATAAAAACTGAAGTTCTTGTTAAAGAATCTAACAAAACTAAATTACAAATACATTGTAAAATAAAACACAAAGGTAAAATCATAAACATAACAGCAGAAAAATTGCATTACATTGAGCAAAGCAAAATTGCTTTGCGACAAAATTTATGCAGTGTTCAACAAAAAAATCGCTAAAAGCTATGACTACATAAAAATTACAGTCTTTAACAGAAGGATAACACATGAAAAGGAGAAAGACAGGAAAATACATGTTTGTACAACATTTCAATGGACTCCAATAATCAACAAGACTAATAGAAAAACTACGTCTAATATGAAACATAGATGAAAAAAGAGAGCCACATTGAGATTCATTCAGAAACAATTCAGAGAGGAGACTACTTACCTTAGCTATGGGAAGATTTCATATCCAGACAATATGAAGTGCAATGACCATCACACTGAAAAATTTCCTCTACTAAGCAAATTTCCCAGAGCGCTTTTCATAGTCCGATTCCTCAGACTGTAGATAAAGGGATTCAGCATGGGTGTGACCAGACTGTACACAGCAGCCACAATGATATCCTTGTCATTAGTGTTACTGGATGAGGGGACAAAATAGAGACCAATAATTGCTCCATAGTAGAGAGTAACCACAGAGAGATGAGAACCACATGTGGATAAGGCTTTGTAGATTCTCTTCATGGAAGGAGCTCTCAGGATGGTGGCCCCAATGCGGCCATAAGACACCAGAATACACATGAACGGTAGAGTAACAACCATTGATCCTACAATGACAATAACCATTTCATTGACCGTGGTGTCTGAGCTGGACAGTTTAAGTAATGCAGAGAGCTCACAGTAGAAGTGGTGGAGAGTGTTGTCTCCGTAGAAAGAGAGTCGGGCTAAGAGGAGAGTGTGCACAAGGGAATCAAAAGATGATAGGACCCAGGACACAATTACTAGTAGGAAGCAGAGGTTCTGACTCATGATAATGTTGTAGTGAAGGGGATGGCAGATGGCGACATACCTGTCAAAGGCCATTGCTGTGAGAAGTAAGCTGTCAATACCACCAAATAATAAGAAAAAGAATCCCTGGGAAACACACCCAGCATAAGAGATGGATTGACTCTGTGTCAGCATATTCATGAGCATCTTTGGAGCTGTGACTGATGAGAAAGAGATGTCAGTGAGAGCCAAGTGGCTGAGGAAGAAGTACATGGGGGTGTGGAGGCGGGAGTCCAGCCTGATGAGCAGGATGATGAGCAGGTTCCCCAGCACTGTGGTCAGGTACAGGACCAGGAACAGGGCATAGTATGTAACTTGCTCCTCCTTCTGTATAGGAAGCCCCAGGAGAATGAACTCAGAAACACTGCTTTGATTATTTCCTTTCATGCTCTTTTTTTTGTATTGTGCTGAAGATGAAAATGGAAATAGACATGTGAAAAATGGGAGATCATTGTACAGCATAATAAAAAAATGCAGTGTACTGACCCTTGACTTACAAACTCAATTTTCATGAAGAATGATTGTGAATTAAGTTGGTCAGTTGAAGACACAGACTCCTCTACATAGCCTTCAAAGTCTTTCTCCTGTATACTGGCAGATCTCAGTGTTCTTAGGAGACACTGGCCCAGGATTTCTTAATTAACCTCCCCCATGAAATGATGTTGTAATGTTCATTTCAGGACTCTTTAAGGGTATAATTTGAATCTAAGAGCATCTGAAAGCAAAAGTGAAGGGCATTTGGGTCATAACTCAAGAGTTTGTTTCTAAGTTAAAACTAAAATTCCAGTAATAACTCAAGTAGTTCCTGTCAGGCCAGTCATAACTGAAGGATCCACTGTAGTTTGGAAATAATCAGCGTCAGCAAATTCTGACTTGCACATCTCAAACTTTTTGCCACAATAGGGGATAATAGTGATCTAGACAAAAGACATTTGCCTTCCTGAAAACAAATTTAACATTCTTTGGAGAAACATAAAATTTATGAATAATACTCTCAGCACACACTGAGTTTTAACTAAGAGTCTGAGAGTCTGTGACAGAAATCTCTGATTAGAAAATTTGATTAAAGGAAGGTCAGCCAGGAGATGACTTAAAATGTTTTGTTTATCTCTCAATTTTCCTCATTCCTCTGCAGCAGACTTTGGTTAACACTTTATATCCAATGATTGGATTGAATTAAAATAGTCCAGTGGGCTTCTTTGAATCTGCAAGATATTAAGATTTGGAGAAAATATATGAAATGGATCAAGGAAATGCTTTCAGAACACACATCGTAATATAAAATATACACACTTATGTCTTATAATTCAGCCATTGATTTTTCATTTAAAAATGTTCTTTCTCACTCAAAATTTTCAGTATTTTATCACCTTTCAACAGGAATTTTTATGAACTATGAAATAAAGTCTAATCATTTTCCAATTAAAAATTTTTCAGTGACTTTGTTAAAATTAGACATAAAATCAATTTCAGATAAATTATTCTAAAAGGAAAGGTGTCTTATCATGCCCAAAATGAGAAATTCAGTTCAAGATGAATTATTCTATGTGAATTATTCTACATGTACTGTGAAATGGGGTAGTATTTAGGGATCAACAGCACATACTGGACAGGCACATCCACAGTCAATAATAATATTGAATATTAATTCTGCTCCTACTTTGATATGAACCCATGAGCAATGAGAACAGATACCTCTAGAAACAAAGCAGGGAAGGTTTCCAGTTTCTCTCTAGGAGACAGAGTACAGAGAAACAGTTAGAGTCTCCATGGGTTCAAGGTTTCTTGCATGTTGCAGAAGAGCTATGAAATCCAGTAGACATAGAGATGTACATTAGGTCACAGATCCTGAGAAACTGAAGTAAGTTCTGATTTTACAAACCATGGGAAGGACCTGAGGAGCAATTTCTCATCCCCAACTCCAAATTGGAGGCAAATATAATTGCTTCTTCACCTGGATCCCTTGAGTGTAGAACTACTTGTAGAAGAAGCCATTGGAGAATTGACCTATGGGAGAATAATGATGACATCCAAGGAGCAGCTATTAGGGTCTTGGTGAATTACAAAGCTTTTTGTTTTTGAGTTTACAATGGGGAAAATGTAGTTCAGAATTTGTCACAAACCATGATTATTGACTTAATAAGCTAAGTGTCTTGGTTCCAAATTCCATGGTTTATTTTTTAAGAAACAGCAGAAATATTATAATACTTTCATTCTCAGGCTATAAGTGAGGAAAATTATGTATCACGGTCACTAGGGGACTCAGAGTAAGGAGATATAGCTGATATGAGTCTGTCTCTTGCTCAAAAGCTGTCATCTTAGTATTGCATTGGTGCAATATTCTCACAATAAAATAAACATCCTCTAGAAATTTGCCTCTAAATTTCTTTCAAAATACAACCAAGGCTATTCCATACATCTCCATTTCCGTTCTATAATATCTGGTAAAAAAATGAATATTTCTAAATGGGAAGAGAGGAGCTAAAGGTGTAGGGAAGGTGGGATGGGTAGGGGAAGGGTAATAAGGGAAAAGAAAAAAATGTGAGATAATGAAAAGATGAAAATAAAGTGTTTGTAGATGGGGAGGGGAGGAGGGGGTGAAGGGAGGGCAGGGGTAAGGGGAAAAAATGAGAACCAAGACTTGTCATGTAGAGGTACGAGATTCCAACAATGAATGTAACTGTACTGTATCCCTAAAATGTACCAATAAAGTCAAAGCTGAAAAAATGAATATTGTGTGTTCATTTTTTCAAGGTAAAGATATTTGAATATTTAGAAATGTTATTATTTGGGTCTCTTTATGTTAAAAATCAACCTGTTCATGGAACTACTCTTTGTGTGATGAACTGTTGTAAGATTATTTAGACTTCAGAAATTGTTTCTGGCTCCTATATATCACCATTGGTCATGTGTTGCCTGATCATAATGCTACATGTAACCTGCTTGTTTTCATAGAAGTGAAAGGCTGACAGCTTCCTTTTCACACCAAACAAAAATGTACCTCCTTCTTTCCTTATATGTATAACAAAGAGAAATACAGCATAAATTTATATCTATGTCTAATTCTACAGACTCAATGTTGTACTCTCTTACATTTCTATGTTGACGCTCCAGTAGCATGTGCTTGGAGATATGTTCTGTAATGAAGTCATTAATATTGAATAAGTATAATGTTGGGCCCTGATATCATAGGATTAGTGGCTTTATAAGACCAGAAACACTTTTCTTTTGCCACATGAGGACAGAACAAGAAACCAGCTATCTGTGAACCAAGAAGAGTCCTCACTAAAACAACAAATCAGCTAGAATATTGGACATCTAGCTTCCAGAATGTAAATTCCTTGTTTAGGTCAAATAAACTCTGGCACATTATGAGGAAGGCTGAGAAATTTGAGTCGTGTATTTGTATGTATACAAATATAAATATATTTTTAGAGATGAATACAAATAGAAATAAAACTACGGTATATATTTTCTCTGGAGAGGAGACTGTTGAGTAATAGTTAGATCATTTAAAGGTAAATTTCTAATATCAAATGATGCTTTCATAATGGATGATAGATATTGGTAAGCAGGAAAAAATGTTCCAATGGAAGTGGGAAAGTGGACAAAGGAAGAGAAAAGGAAAAAGAGAATAGAATAGAATGGAAGTGAAACTTTTGTAAATAAAGAGGGGAAGAAGGGATGAAGGGAGGGGAGGTGCATGGGAAAAAAGAATGAAGATATATTATGTACAGACACAAATTCTCTATTGTAAATGTGATCATTTGGTACATCAAAAGTGTACCAATAAAATTAATTTTTAAAAAATAGTCCTAGTCCTTAATGGGTGAAAAATATTATAGACAGAAATGAGTATATGAAATGCACAACTTTATGAATTATCACAAGAGAAACACGTTTTTACCTAAAAAGGGACTTATTTATCACATATCTGTATATTAGTATTCATGCTATTGTATTTATTCATAAGAAAGATTCTATAAACATTCTCATACATGACTTTTATTGAGTAGTGACACTTAGTTTTGATGGTTATGCACACTGGACCAGAAGTGCTGACCTATGGGGTTTACACTGGGCATCTCCAGTTGAATGCAGCTTATTTGACTTAAATTAAATCTTAAGGATATAGGGTTATGATATATCTTTAAATACAGAAGTTTGGCATATGCTCATAGAAATGTATGTCTGTATAAGAAGTAATTTATACATCTACAAAAAGAAGAAAATTATGCAGTTGGCATTATAGAGAAATGGAGAAATGATAATTTATTAAAATTTTATTTTAAGCATTTCATTATTGATGTGAGAAAAGATTCAAATGCACTTGTAGCTCAAAATACATAAAAAATTAATATATTCCAAAGCCTATCAAGGACTGAAGAAAAGTTTTTAGAATTTTGAAAAAAAAATGGAATATTGTAATCAGACACATAGGACGAGGGAATTCTTTATTTTTTCAAATTCTAATATATTTACTTAAACTTTAGTAGAAAGAAATGGATTTATTTCCAAGTCCAAATTCAAAATCCCTTCAGGGATGAAAATCTTTATATTCTGTAATAACTTCATCCTGTAGAATTGTAATTAAATCATACACTATTGCCATTCTACTATCGTATCTCCTATGACCTGTGACTCAATTTCTTATCACATAGTATTAAGTCTGGTGCTTGCATTTCAATGCAAGGTCTAAACCAGCTTGTAGTTTTCAGTTACGAATGTTCCCTGGACTCTAAAATCTCATAGCTTTGCTTTTTTTTTGGTTTGGTTTTCATGAATTCATATAACCACAGTTACAGCAACATACATAAAATTTTTTCTGCTCTATATACTTTTTTGGCATTTTTCATACTTCCGTTTCTCAAAGCCTTATGAATTACTTATTATCTTAATCATCATCTCTTTGTTTTGCATTTTCTAGGATCTGATACACTTGGAAATACATTATATGTAGTTTCTGAGTATCACCATTTTACAAAGAGGCTTAGCAGTGATAGTTAAGTTTGATACACATGCTCCACAGCAGAGTAGCCATTGGGAGTTACAATTTACAGAATCCTTTTGGCATACATACTGGGATATGTATTCCTATATATTTATATAAATATTTGTATCAGCACTGATCCTGATGAAAAATGCTGAACATCAAAGTAAGAATAAAAAAGGAAAAGAAAAATAATTAAAATGGGCATGACAACAGAGCACATCTCGAAGTAGATTATGAAAATATAAACATGAATTTAACAAGGGCAATAGTAGATTACAAAAAGTGAAACAGAATAAATATAAATTTATTTCATTTATATGCAGCTCTGAGGCAGGCACATCGAAGGATTACTGCAAAAGTAATAGCATATAGCATAGTGCATGCCTTGTTCCTC